AAATCTGAATGAATCGCTCAATCTCTATTTCGTTCGTTCTCCGACAGATTGCTCTACTTGCGCACATAAATCGCCTTCAGGGAATCGAGTATGTAATCGGCCAAAATCAGCACGCACAACATATTCATAATAACAATTGCGGCAGACGCAGTAGAAGGCGAATTGCTCCGTTAAAAAAAAATTGAGTATGATAAGTACTCTGTATGTAACGAGAGGGTATGTATTCGATCGACTTGAATCGAACAAAAAATAAAAAAAAGGTGAACCGAACAACACCGCTTCAATGGACAAGTAAATGTAAAAGCGGATCAAAATTAATAGAAAACTTGAATTTACAAAGAAAATTTCAAACTGCCATATCTCGAAATTAGGATCAGCCAAGATTTTGATTTTTCACCATTTTATGTCCACACATACCATAGACTCACCCCCTAGCTAGCTGCAAACCGTTTTCACGTAAATTTTTGTCGCATTTTGTTTTTTGCTTCAAGACCACTATGCCTCGCACATGGTCTCACCTCATATTTTCTGGCAGTAAAAAATGTGTCTTTCTAGATGGAAAGTATGTAGAGAAAACTTAGGAAAGAGATACTCTAAAAAAAAAAAAAAAAAGGTATCACTGTATTCCTTAAATCGTTGTTCTTTCGCTTTCTGTACCATTTTTTTCAGAAGTTGGCGAGAAATGTTCCGGAAGGCTTCCACAAAAATTGAGTTTTTTGGGTGATTGATGCCGCAAATTTTAAAACCTTTGTACCGTTGGAAAGTTGAGAGTATGGCCTTTTCAACGGCCAATGGGATTTTTTTCTTGTAACGTTTTGAGTCCGAGGAAGAAAAAATAGGGAAACTAACTCTTTGTTCGACCCTCGTACTTGGATGTTTTGACCCATGCGCCATTTTTGCCCGGAGAGGCTCATTTCGTCTCCTTCCGGTCAATGTATCACCGGTGCCATGCGACGTTTCAAAATTTCCGCCGCCATTTTGTTTTTTTATAAAGAGATTGTTGGATGAATCTGTTTGAAAATTTCACTGGATTTTATCGGCAGCGCAAAAAAAGTCGGTGAAATTTTCGGACAGCCTCGTTGAACAATGTCTCTGTAAAAGAAAAAAATATCGAGGGACATTTTGAAACGTCGCATGGTGCTTGTGACACTTTGGCCGGAAGGTGACGATTAGTTTTCGAAGCACTAAAATAAAAATAAGACAAACGGAACCAACGCAACATGGAAATAGAGCGAGAAAAAGAGCGCGCTTCGATTACGGCGCAGGGATACAACTATTCGTGCTTGATGGATGTCCGTGTTGTATCTGCGAAATTGAAGGCGCGACGATGGCATGAGGCGTGAACTTGCAATGCTTCGCTGTATGCTGGCGATGACGTGTCGTTCAAATGCGTGGTAAAAAGTGAAAAACGAGGCCTGATTACGACTCTCCTGTCTTCGGCTGTGTTGACACTGTTTTTACCCTCTATTTTTCAATTTGTTGTCCGATTCTTTTTTTTAGTCGGATCAATTTGACCCGACTCTCGACATCATTATTCCTCGAGTTTTTTGAATTACTAGCACCGCTGCAGACTGCTCAAAAGCAAAAATATTTTACCAAGCACCTTCCCCAAAACTACCTTCTCTCTGCGTGAATACTGACACATAAAGTGGTTAATAAGGGTCCTCAACGCTTCTACAAAACTGGTTGCGATACGCAAGGGAGAAAATTGCATTGAGGAGTGTCGAGGGTGGAATGGAAACAAAGAGGGAAAAAGGAAACATTGATAATTAAGAAGGCGTGAAATTTAAATAATTAGCGGTCTTTTGATATTTCCCGCCTCTGCGAGCTTAGAGACTGAATAAAATTCGAAGAATACGTCGTTATGATCCCCTTTGAATCGAATTCAAAGCCACAGAAGTGCGGCTCAGTGGTCCCAAAACAGCTTTCAGCTAGTTTTTCAGTAGCAGTTTTCCAGCTACTTTTTTAAAGCAGGCTGTCTGCCATTTTAAAAAAAAAATCCCTAATTTCCCTGGCAAAGAAAGCCAAAACGACGGGAAAGAATTTTAAAATTCCCTTACAGACGGAAAAAATAATCCCTGGCATTTCTTTGACAAAAAGGAATAAAATATTCCTAATTTTTTGACACGGTTGAACTGATTAGATTTAAAAATTTTTCGAATTTTGGGAATAAATTGTAATACAAAATAGAGCAAAATATATCGTGCTTAAACTTGGGCGAGATAGTTTTGCCTCATTTTTAAAATTTAAAAGACTTTAGCAGAAATTCCGGTAGAAATCTGTGCGAGAGTAAAATTCGCGGAACATTTCCCGAAAAATCCGTGTTTTTCGATTTCCCTAACACGAAAATCGCTTGCAAAATAAAATTCCCTAACATATCGAACTTTTGCGGATTCTCTGATATGACGTTTTACCTGACAAAGAAAGAAGAAAAGAAAAAGAAACAAATTCTCGATTTTCCAGGTCGATAGACATCTTGCTTAGCGGCGTGAAAGTGGAACAATTCGTGACAAAATTATCGTAGACGTTCATGGCTTTCGACTGAGCAGGCGGCCGAACGAGGACGACGCGCACACCACGGATGACAGCAATAAGAAGAATGCAACTATTCAGGCTCGATGGATGTCTTGGCGGCATACCCGAAACAGGGCCGGATTAAGTTGGTGACCACATGGGCCGCGGCCCATGGCGGCAAATTTTGCAATTTTTTTAAATGTAGGTATAATAGAAATCCGGATTTTGAAAAAAAATTACAAACGAGAAAAGGCGACAAAATCTCTAATTTTCCGAGAGTATAGTAATTTCTACTTTTGTCGTCTTTCAGTGATACAAGAGGCAGCACCTTTAATTAGGCGAGTTAAGAGAGAAACCAAACACGCAATTTGGCCTGGAACGGCGCGACTTACCTAGAGAAAAATGATGACTAGGACTTGAGATGAAAAGGAGAAGCCCTCGGCGCGGCGATCGGCATGTAACACATATTAGCGCCTACAAGACTGCACGAATACTTCACGCATTGCATCAAACACAGTTCGGTCATTGCGGAAAGCGTGAAACGGATAGCGCCTACAAGAATGCATGAATACCTCACGCATTGCGGCAAACACAGTGCGGTCTGCGAGGCGCGGCGGCGGAAGTTAAAGTCATTAATCCACATTTATGTTTGTTCTTTCATAATTTTTTCGTTCATTTCTTATGAATGGAAGGCCTTGTCCACACAGGGATAGGTTTACGAAACTTAACTTTCTCGCAAGTTCCGTGAACTTTTGCTAGTACTGTTGACAGGGCTTTCCAAAAAAATGTGTTCAACACCAGTAAACGCATCTTATGCACCCCTCCCCCGCTGGCACGTTCATTTGATGGTTTTCATTGATGTTTCAATACGAATAAGAAGGGGGCGGCAAGTAGGTAAATCCGGCCCTGACCCGAAAAATTGAAGGCGCACACTATCCTCCTGTGCGGAAAATGGAGATGTTGCATGTGTGAGGGATTTGCGATTTGACCATTGATTCTTATGTAAAAGTTCGCGAGAAACACGGCGGTGCCACTGGTTTTCTCTGAAATCGACTCCCAAGCTCAAAAAAAAGCTCTCAATTGTTGAGGCCAAAATGGAAGGGAAATCCGACGCTACCTGAGAGTCCTCCTCTACATCAAGACAAACTCTCCATGCAAAGGTAGGGAGCAAATACATTGACAGGGCTCCCACTTTATTTGGGGACTCTATAACTGAAAACACGGCAACCCTGTCAATGTATTTGCTCCCTATCTTTGCATGGAGAGTTTGTCTTGATGTAGAGGAGGACTCTCAGGATAGCGTGGGATATCCCCTCCATTTTGACCTCAACTTGAGAGCTTTTTTTGAGCTTGAGAGTTGATTTCAGAGAAAACCAGTGGGACCATCGTGTTTCTCGCGAACTTTTACATAAGAATCAATAGTCAAATCGCAAATTCCTCACACATGCAACATCTCCACTAATGATTCAACGCTTTACGACAACGCCGCCGGGATCATGAAATTTTTAAAGTTTACGGTGTATTATTTTGCTCTACTGAGAAAGACGCCGTATAAACATTCGAGAGTTGCCAAATTTCCTCGAATGAAACATGTATTTGAAAGGAAAGTTTTGCATCGTTTACCTTGAAATTTTTAGGTATTTTTGATTAGATCAAGAACAAAATTGTCTGAAAATTTTGAAAACAAATATTCACAATTTTTCCCAGTAAAGAATTATCTGTTGAGGGAAATATGGCAACATTTAAAAGTTCTTACGGCGTTTTTCTTTAGCACGGCAGTATTAGTGTACCTGTTCACCCGTTTTCGGAACTGAGGCGAGATAGTGGCAACAAGAGGGTAAAAGTTGGATAAAAAAATATTAGGTATAGGTAGGTATTTTAGCTGTCTATGCCCGTAAAATCTCTTAAAAAACCATCATGAAAAGTCAACTAAACGTGAAAATTCATCCACACCTCATCTCCTGTCATACCTATTTTGAGAGGAGCATACTTGGGGGGGGGGGGGGGTGATTTTCCCTACACTCAAATATTACAAATAAGAATTGGTCTTCGAGTACAGTAAGCCTTAAAATTTAACAAGAACCATCAGCTATTTATAGCTGATAATAGGTGCTGGAAAAAGTCCATCTTGAAATTTTAAGGTGAATCTGCAAAGCGATTCAACATTCATAGGATGTACAAAATAGGATAAAATAAGTGCAGAGAATACCTAGCCAGTTGATTAATAATTTCTCTAGGTTAAATCATAAAATTTTTCAAAAATAGATGAACTTTTTTTTCTTTTATTCTTTCTATTGCCTTAGTATTCCAACATTTTTCTATGAGATTGCTTCTTTTTTTGGGAAATTAACTGAACAAAATAAAGGCATCCAAGTAGAAAGAGGTTTGGTTTTATTAAAAAAAAAAAAACCACAGCAAATTACACATATTAGACAGCAGCAAAGTAAATGTTTAAGGGAAAAAACACCAGAAATAAAAAGTAACACTAAAGATAAAAGTACCTACATTTTTAAGTTATAATAAACGATACAGTACGGTAAAAAATCCAGTGATAGTACATTGAGTTACGGCTACAGCAAAATGAAATGAATTGGAATTTTACTAAATACTACTCTTCATTAATGAAAGATGTTACATGGATACATTACTTAAAAAATAAAGCTTTACCTTTGTTACTTGTGCCTCTTTTAAATGACATGAGATTTATACTTTTTCAAAAGCTCTGGATAATTTATTTAGAAGGGTTTATTCCTCTGATATTTTTCTTATTTAATGATTAGCAAAAAGTTCCTACATTTTTACTTACAGCAATTTTGAATAACTTTTTATAATCTGCGAATTTATATCGTCGCAGAAGATAGTTTTTAAGACTGAGGTTAGAGTGAAAAATTACAATGAAGAGTGTATAGTACTGAGAGTAAGATGCTTCAAATTCTGCAACAGTCAATCAGTTAGTTTTCAGAAAAAGCCCCCTCCCCCCCCCCCCCCCCGATTTAAACATATATAATATAAAGATTATAGATGAAACTGTTCACAACTTAAGTACCTACAGTTAAAAAAATAAAAATCTTCTGAGAATATGAGAGGAAATTTTTTTCAAAACGGTAATGTTTACTCTTGTTTCAAGAAAAAGAAAAGAACAATGGATTTAAGTGAAATTAATGATGAATCTGAAAAAGTGTTTGTTGAAAATGTGTGAGTATATCAAAGGGCATTATACCTATTTACTTGTTTCTCCTACCTGAATGATGGTAGTTGCAATTATTTGTAATACTTTTTCACCCATGGAAGTCCGAACTAACACATCTTTCAATGTGAAATTATTGGTTTCTTGAATGTTTTGGATTTTAGGTACGTTCAAGTCAGTTAGCCAAGCATATATCTGAATCTGTAAAACAGAAACAATCAGTTGAGTTCAGAAAATAGAGTGAAGGTCAGCAGATTATTTGTTATGATGTGTTCGTTTTGATTGAAAAAAAATTGGTTGGTTTAATTTTACTTACGCTAGATTTGGTGCTATCTGTATCTGTTGCCATGAAAGTAATTTTCTTCTTATCCTTCTTCGGTGTTTCTGAACACTGTCCTTTAAAATCTGAAAATCAAAAAATCACACTTAAATGTTATTACTTAGTAAAGAAAAAAGGAAAGAGACAATTAATCAAATAATTGCATTATGTTGAATTTAATACTATATTAATATGAAGTTGACAATGTGATTTTTCTCACCAATGAGGGAATCTCCATCCATTGCAAATATGTCTTCAATTTTAGTCCAGTTTTCGGGTATTGTAACATCAATAGTTTTTATCTTTCTCACGGTGGACTCATCGGTTAACTTAATTTCCGTTTTTCCTGTGAATTTGCTGGTCTGGATGCAGAAATTGGTTAATTCGACTGACATTCCTTCCTACAGATGAGGAAAAAAGTATTAGACAAATTTAATTGATTTTACACGAATGAAGCCAGAGACGTAAAATAAAAGGTTTGAATATTTCAATAGATCATACTAAAAAGTTTAACACATTATGTTTACACATTGTTAAGTTTATGTCATCCATTATGATCTTGTTCAATGCGAATCAGAAGAAAATTTCAATTTAGATATGGTCAGAAATGCTCCTAATAAAGAAAGAGAGAGCTCACCATTGAAAGAATAAATACTTCTAGACAAGTTTATTTAGAGATAGAGGAAAGAAAGAAAAAAAAAGAACAATGTGTGATTCCAAGGAAGCTTCTCAGTTATGCAATTAGTAATTTAACATTCGTCTCAAAGAATCTCCTCTTTGTGAAATTTACTTACACGTAGTTTTTTATGTTGTTTTTCACAGAAGCCAAAGCAATATATTTTGCCATTTGAGTCATGCAAATAGAAATGGAAATATTCATTCCCTGCATCAGATTCCTTCAAACCACTTAGACTTTGGATGACCCCTCTCACTGATGTATTACTTTTGGAAATATCAACAATTTGGGATATTGAAGTTAGTCGTTTTTTATATTTCTTCGAAGAAGAGCCGCCTTGACTTTTGTATGTTCGTTTGGGCATTTTCTGGATGAAATCGAGAAACCTGAAACAAGTCAAAAATATATAGAGAGGTGGCAAATCATAGAAAAAATAGATTTCAAATTTAGGTAGGTAGGCACAAAAACATGTACTTAAATAGGTTGCGGGCATACCTACATGTAAAATTCCATGAAATTCATATTCTATTTCTGCATTTTCTTTGGCTGAAAAAAAAGAACTTGGCGGTTGTTTACGCTTCCTCGGATGGCACTGACTGAAGTCGCCAAGTGATCGCATTTTCGCTAAATTTATTGACTTTACCAGCTTCCCGGGTTGTAGCACATCTATCTGCATTTAAATTGGGCCCACCTACTTAAAAACTATGCATGAGCTTTAAAGCATTGCAATGTGTAAATAAATGTGCCTTGCAGAGTTAAAAACCATTCATAAATTTTTTCTGAAAACTCCTGTATTAGGTATCCCCTTGTATTGAAGAGAAAAAAGCCCATTGGATTTCTGAGAGATAGGGGCGATCCTTTGTACTATTAAATAATATGAACAAGGAAATGTTCAACTCTGCGATGCAGACAAACCTTTGAAAACACAGCAGTTTGTTTCAAACTATACCAGTATCAATAAAAATTTGGGATCTTCATCTTGAACAAGGAATTAAAAAAACTGTCGAGAAAGTAAAATCCGAAAGACCTCTCATTTGATTAAGAAGGCCAGGCCAAGTAAGAATCAACACTCCCAGAGTGCGACAAAAGATCATGGCTTCAGTTCAGCATTGACAATAAGCGCATGAGTCAATATGATGGACTCCTATTATGCTCTAGATAAAAGTGCGAAGAATTTAGTGGGCATGAGTTATTTATGCTGAGGTAGAGACATGATGTAAATTATAGTGCAGAGAGGAGTAAGAGGTCAAAATTCCATGAGAATTCAGACACTATATTCCTATTACCCATCTAGTAGTGCACGTGTAAAATGTGCTGAATTCGATTCAGGTGCTGAGACTTTTTTCTTTGGGGTTACTGCATGTGATCAGATTCTGTGGTCACTCCATTATCAGCGGTACAGCTCAATACACCTGGTCACATACCAGCCAAAGCATCCCAAGCGCCATGCGATGCTTCAAAATTTCTGCTGCCATTTTATTTTTACAGAGAAATTGTTCAACAAAGCTGTCTAAAAATTTCACTGAATTTTCTTAGTACTGCCGATAAAATTCAGCGAAATCTTTAAAGAGATTCAACTAGGTATTTCTCTATGAGAAAATAAATGGCGACGAACATTTAAAACGTCGCATGGTGCTTGATACTTTGGCCGGAAGGTGTCGACTTCACGATGATCATGCTGTCTCTTGGGAACCTTGCTCAGTCAGTGACGGTTGTCGAAATTATTTGCACCAGTACTTGAGAAGAGGCACTGAGATTACATCTATTTCATCTAATTACTGAAACAAGGCTTAGCAAGATCTAGTCACAGCGCAATCATGAAAAAACAAACTCTTTGTCTCAACAGTTACATATAGTACGTTGACAGTGAGCAGAAGTTAGTGCCGAATGATCTACTTTACTTACGATTCACAGGAATTCAGAGTTTACTTAATTCGAGAATTAACAACACGACGGCGACACTTAACGAACCCAGCAGCGGCTTTGATACTTAGCGAATTGCGCAGTAACAGGTGGTAGAAAATGGTGTCGAATCGTTTTCTCTTTGGAATCTGCATTGTTTTGGTTCAGCAAAATTACGGAATGCCAACATTATCCTAGGCTGAGAATCCTTCACAAAAGATTTAATGCAGACAAAATTCAGACAAGTCGATCTAGGCCATCAAGTTTAAGTAGAAAACATATTATTTAAAATATTCAATGGCCACAAATATTATTTGGGGCTCAAAAAGATGGATGAAAAATACGCGATGGACTGGATATTTTATTGCCCATGTTGGCATACTCGCTGCTCTTCCGCAGAATGTGAAAAACTAAAGCGTGGATTGGCCTAGAGCTGTGGCGCGAATTGGCATTTTATTTGAATTCGAGCACTCGCGGCAGCTCGAGCGCGGCTGTGGGAAGGAGGGGGGTAGAATCGGAGCGAACTAGTATGCGGATTACTGGAGTACCTTTGTGGAATGAAGGACGGTAATCTCTTAGAATTCTGTCGATCTACATTTAAAACACACTTTTATTTTACAAAATTCCGGCCAATATTAAATATCCCTCTTAATGTAAGTGTTGATTTCTTCTCGAATTGAATGTGTTTTTATTACGGACTTGCTGTACCTTGCACATTTGTCACCTTCGGGCCGAAGTATCACAAGTGCCACACGACGTCAAAAATTTCCTCCGCCATTTTAATTTTTTACAGATAAATTGTTCAACGAAGCTGTCCGAAAATTTCACTGAATTTTCTTTGTGCTGCCGATCAAATTTAGTGAAATTTTCTAACAGATTCAGTCAACAATTTCTCTGTGAAAAAATAAAATGGCGGCGGATATCTGTAAACGTCGCATGGCGCTTGTGATACTATGGCCAGAGGGTGACGATATTTGGTAAAACAGTGAGAAAGTGTCATGATTTACCTATTCATGATCGGCTTTCAAATTTAAGGAGCATTTTCTGTGTCAATGCAGGAGATGGATGTTAGGGTAAATCCCTACTAGAAATTTAGAAACCTATTTTGATAGAATACTATGTACATACTTTAAATTTATAGAAAAAGACGGAACCATTAGGCATGGGTATTTCAGCTGCCTACGCCTGTAAAATCTCTTAAAAATGCCTTCATGAAAAGTGGGGGCATCCAAACGTGAAAATTCATCTGCACTTCATCTCCTGACAGATTATGAAAGAGCAGATTCCTTTTTTTTTGGAGGGGGGGAGGGGATATTCAATGTGACTTGTGCTCTCACATGTAAAAGTTCCCTGTAATCAAAAATTTCATGCAAAATGAGAATAGATCGCTTTGAGTATAGGGACTTTACCTGCAAAAGCAGTCATTCGATCTTAGAGTCGATAGGGAATCACTTCTTGAGAGCAAAACACCGAACATGTTTGAAATTATTTAGGAGGGGATCAAAGTTGACGCTGTAAACGGCAAATCATGTGAACTATCTGTTGAAGAGATAATTTTGGTCGTATAATTCAGCGGGAAACATCAGCTATCAATTAGTTGATATTGATGAAATACCTCCATTGTGGAACTTCAAGGTTATTCTGCACTAGAAGTCAAAAATCACAGGATACAGAAAAAAAGATAAAATAAGTGCAGAGAGTACCTACCCAATTGATTAAAAACTGCGCTCTAGACTGCATAATAAAATTTCTAAAAAAATCGGTGAACTTGTTTTACAGATTTTTATTTTTTTTTCTTGCGTGAGTAAAGTCAGAACTTTTCCCCATGAGAGTGGTTCTTTTTTCTTTCTTAATTCCGTCCTTTTTTTAACAAAGAGGTCGGGGAATTAAAGTTGAAAGAATAAAAGCATTGAGTTACACATTTTGGTTTTATTAAATATTATAAATATTGATATCTTTAGTAACAGCGGCTTCATAAATATTTAAGTTTCACTAAACAATACACTACAGTAAAAAAAAAAACAAGCAGAGTGCATTGAGTTATAGCAAAAAGACGTGAATTTGAATTTTACCGAACACAGCTAAACTTTGATGGAGGATTTTTACATTACTAGAAAATATAGCTTTATCTATGTTATTTGTGTTTCTTTTAAATGACATGAAATTTATGTTTTCTTAAAAGCTCTAGATAATGTATTTGGGATGATTTATTCCTCTGACATTTGTTTTCTTTGATAACCGGCAGTAAAACTGTGTAATCCAAGATTGAAGAACAATAAGTGATAAAAATTTTGATTAAGGAAGTACATTACAAATATCTTTCAAGATTACAATACTTAATTAAATAATTTTCAGGTCATAATAAGAACGTACACTATGATAAAAAACACAGTTAAGTAACAACATTTTTACTTACAGCAATTAAAATAGCCTTTTATCATCTGCAATTGTACAGTTACAGTAGGTAGTGTTTATGACTGTGGTTAGAAAAAGGAATTACCATCAAGACTTTGTGGTATTGAGAGTAAACGCTCCGAGCTTTGCAACGGTCAAGCACTAAGTTTTTAAAATGAAAGCAAGGGGCCAAAACTGCAGTGGAAGATGATGTTACCAACTTGATAGATATGTAAAAAATTGATACCTTGGATGCTCCTTGCTAAATAAGTATAATTACAGATTGGGAGCATTTTCAATTAATGCTGGCCTCTTGACCTTATTTATTGAGTCAAACTCAGTGATCTTTCTTTTATTACATACATGAATATTTGGACGAGAAAAGGTGTAAATGAAGATAAGTTACACACACATGCAGTCTTTTAACTACCCATTTCAAGGAAAATTACAAGTTAGCATTGAGACTAAAAATCTAAAAATATCTACTTCCAAAAATTTCGTTTTTTTAAAAAAAAGAAAATGAAGTTTACTCTAATTATTTGCATTAAAATCAGACCTTATTGCACACTTTAAAAATTTAAGTTAAAAGATCACCTTTCATTAAGCAAGCTAACATATGATTTTTAAGGCTGAAAATGGGTTCTTCAGAGAAAATGAGAAGAAAAAGGATGCTTAACCATTAAAATCACCCTTGTGAAAGATCTTGGGAATGTCTTTTACACGACTACAATAAAATTAAATTGTACAGCAGTAAATGTTGAAAGACTAAGTGTCTACTAAATTAAACAACTTGTAAAACCCTGTATCACATGCTAAAGGTGCAGAGATAATATTGAATTAACTATACTTAACATTCCTGCGTAAAATGTTTGGAAAAAGCTGGAACAGTCTCACAAGCCTAATCAATTGCTGATTACATGATTTTGATGATTTCAAGAACAAGTCATGACATAAACCTGTCAATTTCGGATCATATGAAAGGAATTTGAGTGAAAAAGTATTTTTTCTTGGAAATAAATGAGAGCTGTCTCAGCAATTTGAGTATTTCTATTTCCAGAAAAACTAGTTCCGACTTGAATTAAAATAACTACTTCAGGATTTACAGGACAACATTTAAAACAAATATTTTGGAAGAAATACAGAAATTTGGATAACACATAGATAGATTAGAAATCTACAAAATTTTAATACAGTTATAAACAGATTGATTGAAATAGACTAATAAAAAAAGAAAAAAAGAAAAAGAGAAAAAAAGATAAAGGAAAAAAAGGATTAAAAGCAGAATTGGAATGCTTAACGTTACAAAATAGAGCAATGCATTTTTGAAGGCTTGATGAACAAAAAGAACCACTGATAAAAAATAACATGCCTCATATTTGATCAGTTTTTAAGTATTTACAGGCCAAAAAAACTTATTTGGTTGAGAATGTATAGATTGAAACAAAAATATGATTATTTATACGAATAAATACATGTTTCAGATGTACAGACATTTGATAAAAGTTGCCCATAACACTTGTGCATGGAGTTTTTTCAAATTTTTTTGTTTATGTAACTAACATAAAAGTAGAATGCCAGTTTTTCATCGTTTAATTGTTTGCCCTCGTTCAGCTTTATGACATTTTCAATAAACAACTTATAATACCTGTGGTCATTAAAGTCTTTCATTTTTTTTGTGGAATATATACCAAAATTGATTTTTTTAGTTCCTTCAATGTATTCTTGAGATGCTAAATACTGGAATAAGACCGCTTTATTTGTAAATTTTAGTGCTTTAACTTGCTGAATTAGATTGAGATTTACAATTTTACTCAAGTTATTGTTATTATTAAGTGAGTGGCTTAAACCATGGCCACGAAACTGTGATTGGTGTTCTTTAACACCAATCACAGGTATTTCACAGGTATCACAGGTATTTTGTTTGGGTATTGGCATTGCCTTAGGATTACTTGATTCGCCTGAATCACATCTACGAGACTCTGATTGCAGCTCTTTATTTAGTGTTGCACTAGGGTCATAAGATTTGCTTGAAACACAGCCAAAAAACTCTGATTGCCTGTTTCTATTTAGCATTGCACTAGGATTATAAGACATGCTTGTACCGGTGCCGCAAAACTCTGATTCCCTGCCTTCATTTGGCATAACATTAAAGTTTCCAAAGTTATGAAAATTTTCTCTCATTGAGCGACCTGTTTGGCGCATAGACTCGTAATGGAATCTGCCATATCTGTACCCTCTCTCTGAACACCACTTACGTTTGCATGATGGACAGTAATTTCTACCTCTTCGACCTGAAGGCCTAAAAGGGGTTTTACAATCAAGACAAGGTTTTTCTCTCTCTGAATCCTTGTAATTGATTCTGCGATAACTGTACCCTCTCTCTGAACACCACTTAAGCTTACAAGGTGGACAGTAATTTCTACCTTTTCGACCTGAAGGGCTAAAAGGGGTTTCACACTCAAGACAGATTTTTTTTGGAGTGTAACTCAAATACCTACGGATACAACAAGATCCGAGGGTTAGTATGTTTCTATTTTTTATGTTGAATATGAGCTTGTTTTTCACTATCCAATGAGTGCAGATACAATTGTTTTTGCGGGGAGGTAATTTTTTTATTTTGTAATGATCAATCAATTCTTTTGATAGACCACCTTTTAAATCACACAAATTTGCAACTTTGGACAAAGCAGTCCACTCATCTTTGGCCATGTTTTTGTTCGTTTTGTTGTACGAATATTGAAGAAGGACATCCCAAAACTTGGCATCACCATCCATGATTCACGAGTGAAAACGCAGCAGACACACACTAAGTTGCAAAACAAAAAAAAACATGCTTTAAAAAAAAAAAAAAAAAAACAACCCAAGAGCCTTGATAGAGATCAGCTAAATAACCAAAATAGTTGCTGGTAAAAGATGCGAAGCCGAAATTTGAGTATCCTTAATTTTTAATTTATTGAGTACCTATTTTCAATTTTTAACTCCTGCAAAAAATTTTCAGCCTCCTCTGCTAGAAGCCATTACTTTTAGAGACAACGACTTTACCCAAAAATGGTAAGTTTGTTGAGACCCCTGAGAGGTCATAAACTAGGAGAGCTTTGGGATCATTCTATTTGAAAAGGCAATGGTTCCAATTTTACAGGGACAGGCCCCAGTGAAAAGAAGATGGGAATCTCTTTTGATAAAGAAGGACCAAAGGTTCAAAAGGGCCAAAAGAGGCTCCATGGGATTTCTCAGAGAAGCCGAATGGGGCCTCCAGAACTTCCTTTGAAGGAATTTTTTTCTTCCCTTGAACAGGCTGACTTTTGCTAAACTTACGGCAAAATTTTTACAACTTCTGAAGATTTAAATTATGGAAAACAGTACCCAAAGCATGTACCTAGTCTCTCAAGTGGCAACAGCTGAAATTGTTGAGCCATTGTGTTACACACAATATCAATAAACTTTTATCCTGATTTTTCCAACTTTTCCTCATCACCACATATCACCTGACTTAGCCACCTTTTCAAACTGCTGGAAACCCAGGGAATTTGGATGGTAGGAACCCACTAAAGTACATACTTATAAAGTTCTTTAGTATTGGGTATCTTTCTGACCAAAAAATAGCAGAAACAAAGTTAAAGAGGATTTGCAGGGGTCTCAGAGAGGAAAAGGCTCAAGAAACTTAGGTTCATGAAAAGGCTTTCGACCATAGAAGTCTTAGGTCCTGGGTCCTAGAAAAATGTTTCCCTTCAACATCCGACGTAAACTATGAAGTGGGCATACCCTTGACTTATAACTTTGAGCCTTTCAACATTGCACTGTCTGAATAGGTAACTTGAAACTTGCATTGGAGGGATGTGATAAACCAGCCATTCAGTACCTAGCCTTACTTAAAACTTTCTTACAAATAATATCACCTCTTACCGGAAGAAAGAGGTCCATCGCAATTATACAGGATTATTGCAACTCTTCCTTAAAATAATGTAGTAGACTGACAGAATCTTTGCCACTGCTCTTTAACTTACAAATCTTTCCACACAAGGGCTGTCCACAGTTTGCAATAGATACTTAAGTAGGTATCTCAATGAAATTTGAGATCTCATTTTGGTCTGTTCAAATCCCAACACTGACTTAGAGCCAAGATCTGAAAGATAATAATTGATTGACCGCCAAGCGTAACGAACCGTCTGTTTTGCACTTTAAGGTGATTCGATGGACGCCATATTTTATGTCAGAACGGCATGCGATATATCGCATCAATTGGTTCCATTTTTTCAGCTACTCGTCATTTTTCTCCAATTTTGAGATCGCAATTCTGTTGTTAGGAGACTAAAACACTCACTTACCAATTTTAACAAAGAAATTCAACGTAATAAAGGCGTGGTTTTTTCAGAAAGAAAACATCGCATTCGATACTGATATCGAAACTGCACTCGCATGCTATATTTTCCCTCTAAAAAAACCACGCCTTTATTACGTTGAATTTCTTTGTTAAAATTGGTAAGCGAGTGCTTAAGTCTCCTGACAACAGAATTGCGATCTCAAAATTGGAGAAAAATGACGAGTAGCTGAAAAAATGGAACCAATTGTTCGAAACATCGCATGCCATTTCGACACAAAACATGGCGTCCATCGAATCGCCTTAAATTTCTATTTCCTCAGCAATGCAATAGGTTAGAATTTCAGTGTTGAGACTTTCTTTGTTCAGAGTCAGTCCATGTGATTGGGAACAATTCTGGAGAGGGTTTATCATGAGCGGCTATATATCTGGTTCGGAAACAGTGATCATGACTGTGTGAAGCGGCAATCAAAATTCATTCCTAGCTACTAATAGATGACTTTAAAATATCATGTCATTGTTTTTAGAGAACGGTATGTGCTCTCAGTTCCTGCACATGAGAAAGTACACGGGGAGAATTTTTCACATTAAGAGTGAGTGTTGAAATAACAACGCTACTTACAAATAAAAGGAAATCTCTGTTGAGTGGAATCCTACAGTTGGTGGAATCTGGCAAGTGGCAAGATGAATGCGCAACGCACTGATTTTCTTGATTTGAAACAAAAATTCTGACGATAAGTAGTTAAAGAAAGTCTGAGACTTCACCGACGCAGCGGCAGCTAAGCTTGAGTGGAAACATGTGGAAATTGGATGGAAAATGAGGAAAATGGCGTCGATTGTTTTGGTTTTGCAATACTAGGGTATGCCAACTCTGTACAAAGGCTGCCAAATCCTCACATAGAATTAAGGTCAGACTGCTCGATCTGAATTACCACATTTAGGAATGATACAATAAAATAAAAATATTTAAAAACCATGAAAATTATTGAAGAAAATTTGTGGCAAAGAAATTTGGATGAAAAGAACATGACGGACTGGATATTTCATTGCGCATGTTGGCATACCCGCTGCTCTTCCTCAAAATGTAAAAAACTAAAGCCCGGATTGGCGCAGAGCTGTGGCGCGAATGGACCTGGTATTTGAATTCGAGCGCTCGCGTCAGCCCGAGCGCAGCTGTGGGAAGGAGGGGGGTAGCAGCGGAGCGAACTATTATGCGGATTACAGGAGTAGAGAACCTTTTTGGAGTCGATGGTAATCTATTAGAATTCTGTCTATCCAAATTTAAAAGAGACTTTCGTTTTATAGCACTCCGGCCTTCATTAAAAATCT